GGTGGACTTTTGCCAACTGCTCAAAAATGTAATTGCTGGCTTGTTTGATTGACTAATCTTTTTACTATAAGTCTGCACAGAGGTTGACGTAAAGTTTAGGATATGCTTAAAACCTTAAGTCTTTTGCAGTCAGCCTTTATCTTTGTAGAGAGACATGATAGGGCATTGGAAATATGGTGGGACTTCAACATACTGGTTATGTCCACTGCAGTTTTTTATATTTTACTACATGTAATATGGCTTCACATTTAAATCAGATAAGAGAAATATTTTTAAGCCTAACATAGAATTTATTTATTTCAGGCACTTATATAGCGCCATCAATTTATGCAGCACTTTACACATATATATTGTACGTTAACATCAGTCCCTGCCCTCAAGGAGCTTACAATCTAAGGTCCCTAATTCACATTCATACACATACTAGGGCAAATTTAGACAGGAGCCAATTAACCTACCAGCATGTAATGCTTTTAATAGCCTAGAGTCTCAAGCTACAAGTGTGTGCTACCACTTTGGCCATATTGTGCTATGACAGGCAGGTTGAAAAATGTACTTTGCTAAAGAAATCTCCAATTGAATAGAAATCTCCAGTTTAATCAGGGGTATTTAAGGGTCCTGTACAGCAGAATTGCTCAAACATATTGCATCAAGGTCTGACATATATTGACACTTCATGTGTGACGACGACAACAACAACAACACATCTGAATAAAAAATACAAATATTTTAAAAGGCTGGCAGGAAAACCTTCATATCTCACTAATATGGGTAGACCATTTTATTCAAGGATAAAAACTGAAAGAAAAACATTTTAATCCTTTCTGTTATCAGTTTTTATTCAGTTTCCACTCCACGTTTTAAACTATACTTTCATTTCCAGTCTTATCTATTTTCAACTCCCTTTTCCAGCTGATTTTTTTTTACTAGTCATTGTGGTGCATTAGATACCACAAATAAAAATATAAAAAAGAAAAACAATAGACCTTTTTCATCTGCTTCCTTATAATCACAATGTAAAAAACATGAAAACCGGAGTGATAAAGACAATCAACCATTGTGCTCCTTAAGATAGCAAGAAAATGCAATGTTATTTTCTTGCTAGCCAATTGGCAAATACAACTATGCTGCAGTTGGACTAAAAAATGAAATAAAAGACTTCTATTTGGTCTAGAAAACCAGTGTATTTCATAGCTAAAATACAATACGTGATTTCCCTAGTACATGGCAAGCCACAAATTCACACAAAATTTTAATTGTAGACCTTCTGATCTGTATCAAAAACAGTTGAAGTGAGAGGGGAAAGATGGCATCTGGTATTATATGGGTAAAGGTCTAATACAAGAATTACAAGATCTTTGTTTAGCATATTAGAGTAGCTGTATTGCCCAATAAAATGCAGCCAAAAAAGTAGTAAACAATATTATTGCTGGATCTTTTATTTTTATTTTTTTTTTAACAGACACAGTAAAAGGATAAGTTCACCTTGTGACAAAGGTAAAACAAAATGTGCATTTATTATTTTTTGTTTTGGGAGCCTGTAAACCACTGAATCTGCTGATTGCTGGTGCCATGAAGGTCTCCAGCTGACCTGTCAGTATATCTGCTTGCCTGTATGGGATGTACAGGCAAGCATATATACTGACAGGAAGAATCAATGAACTGCCACGGCGTAGTTCACTGAAAACTAAAAGCTGACAGCTGCTAAGGCTTTCAGAAGATCTCGTGTTAAAAGCGGAGGTGCCTGGTCCATTCCTGACATGGTACATGTTACACCCTAAATACGGATGTAACATGTTATGAAAGGTGAACTTATCCTTTAAAATAATTTTTAACTTGTCTCATTGCGTGGTGATGCAGACAACTGCCGCCAAGATCTATAAATAGAAACAGTATCTAACTATCAAGAGTAACCAATCAACTCACACATATATATATATATATATATATATATATATACACACACACACTGTATGTGTGTGTATATATATATATATATATATATATATATATATATATATATATATATCTTCCCAACATAGCTTTCAATTCCAGCACCACAAAATAACATTTGGTGATGTATTGTATCCCAGATCTGTGTTTGGTTCGAATACCTGCTATAACTGGAACGTTGTGATTAAACAGGTCGATTAATTGTAGCTCTAGATAGGATTTTGTGTGAACTATTCAACAAAAAAGGAAGCAAACATTAAAATATTACTGCATAAATATTTATTGCTAAAATAATTTATATCTCCCACCACTGATAAAAAAAAATATCAAGAGTAACCAATCTACTCACTAAATCCTATCTCCTCTTTCTCTCCTCTTTAGCAATTATTGTGGCCAATGAACATATTAATTTCTGAGAAATACATTTACATGGTAAAGATTCTGCTAACATGCAGCAATTCTTTTAGTATACTCCTTTAAGGGCAGAATGGTAAAGATTAAATAATGAGAACAAGCCTCTACAAATAATAACTAGTTTTAAAGAGTTAAAGAAGAAAATAGGCATTGCACCATTTAATTCAAAATCACTTACAGAAGTTAAAATTATGCTTACCAAACGATGGTGTCAGGTATTAAGCAAATCAACTTAGACACATAAATGCTGAGAGTAAGGTAAAACATCAAGTGAACCATTTGCTTGCATAAAGCTCAAGGGTGCAATATTTAAAGCACTTTATTCAATAAAAAATGCTTTTAAAAAGGTACTTTGGTGATTGGGAAAAACTGGAATCATCTGTCAATGTGACTGCAAGAAAGTTCAATAAGCTAAATAATGAACCATTTACATTATTTTCCCCTCAGGCTCCATGACTTGTGTCAATAGAACTCTTTAAAAAATTATGATGTAGACCTTGTAGTTTGCAAAGCAAAGAATGCACATTCATTTATTTGTGTATATATATATATATATAAGGAGTGAAAAATACACCTTTTTAAAAATGTTGCATAGGAATTAGAGACAATATTCAAGATGTATGTTTTCTAGATATTTTTACAAGGTCTGCACACAAAATTTAAGATACCCTACTTTTCTTACTCCTTCCCCAGTGTTTGTATATATTGCATGTCAACTCCATTCAAAGTTGTTTTTTGTGGGAGTATCAGTGGGTTAAAGTACTCACCAGCATCTTGATGCTTTTAGTAATTGTGTACACAGTAAGTTTGCCTTTCCAAATATGTTACACCTGTATTTAGGGTGGAACATGTAACATGCTCAGCTTCCTCCCTCACACCCCCTTCCATGTGACAGCAGACAGGGGATCCTCTCCCTGCACCTCCTGTCAGATTTTCAAAACAGTGTAGCTGTGCGGTGCCCCGCCCACACAGATGCGTCATTCACAAGAATCTGCAAATGAATGGACTACAAATACTGCTTGCCACCAAGACAGATGACTTGTAGCTCTCAATGAACTGCAAGAGTGCTGGTGAGCGCTCTCATAGTCCATTGATACTTCCTGCAGCTTTCAAACAGAAAGCCCATATAGAGGTATTGACAGAAAGCTCTAGCAAATGTCTGCAGAAGGTTGACTTTGCACCTGCAATCTGCTGAAAGTGGATGCAATGTTCTGCAGGCTCCTGAGAAAAAAAATAAATGCACATTTTTTTTTACCTGCAGAAACGTATTATTTTTTGTAAAAGGTGAACTTAGCCTTTAAATGTAAAGCTTACCCCTGACGAGTGCCCCATAGCAAGCTGCTTTCTACGGAGCATCGTGCATACTCAATCAACGTGTGTGTCAACTTATACATGAAGCATGTTTTGGCCCTAACCCCTCCCCCCCGCCCCACACACACACACACACTGCTCACTCGCTATGATTAATAGCAGCAAGAGCCAATGGCTCCCACTACTGCCTCCATTTCCAGTGAGGAGAGAGAGAGAGCGGAAAGAGCTGCTGCTCTCGGCCACAGCGCTAGATTGAGATCAGGCTCAGGTAAGTGTAAGGGGGGCTGGGGGTGCATTAAAGTGAAAATTCTACTGCCTTTACAACCACTTTACAGCAATGCACTCAGAACAAAAGCACAAATTTATTTAAACTTTGTCATGTTTTGCCCCAACTTTTGAGATCCATTCAAACTTACCTAACATAGTTAGAATTTTCAAACATTTTTACATTATAGAGAATCCACCTGGGAAGTGGTTAGTGCTTTACAGTAGCTGCAGCAGTTAGGTAAGCCTAACAACTCTATTGGGGATATTTTGACACAGCAGTCCCCAAGAAATGTATGATGTACGTATATATTGTATGCTATATGGCTTACCAGCAGCTCCACAAAACAGAAATGCCAATGCAATCTTAAATTCAAATCCCACATGTCTAAACTTCACCTTTTCTACCAAAACACACACATCAACAAAACCTCATCCATTTGCCCACATTTCAATCTCTTTGCAGGTCTGAAATATTACACCAACTAAGCTGAATTGGACAGGGACAGAAACATTTAGATACACGGGAAAAAACTTATAAACGTATATAGGACTTAAATAGAGGCATTCTATTAAGGCCCAGCTCCAGAAAACGTAAAAATTCTTCCTTGCACTGGTGTTGTGGCCACAATGCAAGGGTGAACTGCTTGTTCAGGTCTATGGGTCACAGAAAAGTAGATTTACGTACCCGATCCTCTGCCTTGCTAGACCAGTCCCCACAGCTTCTTCATTCCCATGCTCCAGCAGTCTAAGGTCCTGGCCTCATCAAAATGGATGCAGAATCCAGAGCCCTGCACTGGATGCAATCATGCCATAGGACAGTCCACTGTTGGAGCATGGGAGAGCAGAAGACTGAGAAAGTAATATCGTTTTTACTCTCACCTAGAATGAACAAGCAGTTAACCTTTGCAATGTGGGCTGTGCATTTAACTGCAATATAATGAATAGAAATAGAATAATGAATAACAAATACAATAATGAATAATGTATTATCAAAATATATATCTGGCGTCTGAATTTTTGGAAAACAAAAAATAAAAAAAACACAGAACACTGACCTCATCAGGGCTTGATGCTTGGTAGGTGCGGTTTTCATCACAAAAGTCTTGGTCAACTTCAGCATACTCCGTTTCATAGTTTACTCCAGCTCGTGATTCATAAACTGGTGTAACATTGTGACACAAAGCTATGGCTTTCACTGCTTCGTGGACTCGACTGCTCACAGTCCTGCGTACTTTAGGGGCTGAAGACTGAACCTTTCTTGAAGGAGTTGAGCTGGCATTGTTATTAGTGGCTTGAGACTGTACCTTCAATGTAGGTGAAAAGGAATCACAATATTAATGTTTTCAGAAAGTATTTTATCCAAAATAACGCAATTCTCAATATAAACTGTCCTGTAAGAAAAAAGAAACAATTCTGGAAAAAAAAAAAAAATCACAAATAAGTCTTGTTACCATAATAATATCAAAAATATTAGAAATAATACCATTATTTTTTAAAGCAAAGATTAGTTTATAACTAGTAGAGAGAATGTAGGCCAAAGAAGCCTTGTTACTGAGCTTTTAAAATCTCGAATGAATATTATCATATTTAAAAAAGAAAAATGGAGTCTACGGGCTGCATGGGAATTAGCTTCTGAGATCCATGATCAAAAACAATTAGTCACTAGGCCCAGTGAGTGAGGAAATCCTAGCTTTGCCCAGGCATTCAGAAGACTGATAAGCAGATGATCCCCTACACTCCACCGAAACCGCCCTACTCAAACTCACCAATGACCTGCTAACTGCCAAAGCCAATGGCCACTACTCAGTGCTACTACTCCTCGACCTCTCTGCGGCTTTCGACACGGTCGACCACCCCCTCCTCCTCAAAAAAAACTATACTCTTTTGGCCTCAGAGACTCCGCTCTCTCCTGGCTCTCTTCCTATCTATTTCAACGCTCTTTCAGTGTTACCTATAACACTGCCACCTCCCCCTCTCTGTTGGGGTCCCTCAAGGTTCTGTCCTCGGGCCCCTTCTCTTCTCCATCTACACCTCCTCCCTTGGTCAACTGATACACTCCCACGACTTCAACTACCATCTCTATGCCGATGACACTCAAATCTATCTCTCTACCCCTCGCCTCACTCCTTCAGTCTCCGCCCGAGTCACTAACCTTCTGAACGACATATCAGACTGGATGTCACTCCACTTCCTCAAATTAAACCTTGCCAAAACCGAGCTCCTAGTTTTCCCCCCAGCCCGCCTCCCCCCCCCCCCCCCCGACCTCTCCATCACGACCAACAACGCCACTATCAGCCCCACCCCACAAGCCAGAGTACTAGGTGTCATTCTAGACTACAATCTGTCTTTCCAGCCCCAGATCCAATCGCTGACAAATTCATACAGACTCCTCCTCCGCAACATCTCCAAAATATGCACGTTCCTAACTCCAGAAACTACAAAGCAACTCATTCACTCCCTTATCATATCACGACTTGACTACTGCAACTCCCTCCTCGCCGGCCTACCCCAAACCAGGCTATCCCCGCTTCAGTCTATCCTGAATTCTGCGGCCAGACTCATCCACCTTACCAACAGCTCCGTATCCGCCACCCCCCTCTGCCAATCCCTCCACTAGCTTCCGATTGCCCAACGCATAAAATTCAAAATATTAACATTGAAGTACAAAGCTATTCATAACACTGCCCCAAACTACATCACCGATCTGATATACATCTACCACCCAAAATGCACTCTCCCGCTTCTCACAAGACCTCCTACTCTCCGGTTCCCTGGTCTCCTCCTCCCATGCCTGTCTCCAGGACTTCTCCAAGGCTTCCCCCATCCTCTGGAACTTACTACCCCAATCCATCAGACTGTCACCTACCTTCCTCACCTTTAGGCGCACCCTGAAAACCCACCTCTTCAGAGAAGCCTACCCCGCCCTCACCTAATTGCTGATCTCCTCCGCTCTTCCCACCACTCCATCCCCCACAGCTATTTCCTCCTGTACCACTCTCCCCTCCCTCCTAGATTGTAAGCTCCAAGGAGCAGGGCCCTCGAACCCCTCGTGTATTGTATTGTTACTGTACTGTCTCCCATTATAATGTAAAGCGCTGAGCAAACTGTTGGCGCTATATAAATACTGTATAATAATAATAATAATTTAACTAAAGCAGATGTGATTGCACTATCCAAAAAACTAAACAGTGTTCAGTGTTTTAAGATAAACATTTAAAGAAGATCAACTTGATACAAAGCACAGCATTCTTTCACATTATGGCACACTTACCTCCTAGAGTGCCCTCCTCCAGTGCTGCAATTTTCATGATCCCACTCTTCATCCCAAAGCCATTGCTGACAATCTCTATTGGGTTTGGTCTTCCCTGTCTGCCACTGATGCTCTAACTACTGCACATGCATACAGGAGATGTATCATCCCTAGCATCCACCTGCTTTTCTGGCATTATACAGGTGCCAGGAATGGTCCAGAGCGTATTCTACCCTGCACATGCACAGTAGGCTGTGTACACTAGAAACAAGAGGAAGCAGTTTATCTTGGCAGAAGAGACTTTGCATCTCTCTATTGCCAAAAAATCTTTATTGGTTTTCTCACATATGTTTCACTTTAATGTGTGTTAAAATGTGAAATCTATTGAAAACATTTCTTCTTAAGGTAAATGCTGCAATTATAACGCAAAAGAGGTGCTCACTGTAAATACGCTATACATCCCATTCAATGGTGTAAGAAAAAGTAGGAAACAAATAATTTTAGGGAATTAAGTCTAAAAAAACCCCCAAAAAACTGCCAGGTTTTTCTGCTCTCAGTGAGCAAATGGGAACCCTTCCACTGGTGGTTCAGTGTGTCAACTAGCAAAGGCTGTCGCAAAAAAACATATTTACAGCCAAGTATCAAAACTGAATACATTGCAGCTTACCAGACTTTGAAAGTGGTAGTTGCATTCATTTTTTAGGTCTTTCCTTTATCCTGCCAGTGGTGCCAGCAAACCAAATGTTTAGTAGGGCTTTCGCAAAGTTTAAACGCCGTTGTATAAGGTATGTTGAGTATTAAGCTGATAGGACTGTGCCTTGATTGGTTCATAATGCTGCCCCTCCCACTCCAGTCTTCTAAAAGATTAAAGGGTTCAACATAAATAACATCTAGTATTTATTATTAATTATATGTCAGGAATAAATGATGTTTAATACATATCTACCTGAAGCTATAGTACAGTTCAAACAATTTAGTTTTACAAAATTTTTGTGATCACTACTGCAGAGTATACAATTAACTTGAGTGATTCTAGGCAACACCTAACATACTTATTTCATTATTATTAGACACTTATTAAGGCTGCTTTAGGTTGAAATGTTAAGTAACATTGAGCTATACACCCACCATGTCCTGATCTGCTGTGAGGATCAGAAGAACCAAGTGTTGGGAGCCGTGTGCTGCAATGGGCTCGGTGCACTGAGCCAGTGATCCATGAACACACTGCCCATCAAATTACAGTGCTGTATAATAATAGGTTTAACTTTTCTGCTCATCTGCTTTTCAGCTCCTGCTTTGAACCTTTGCATTTGCATTCTACATTCGCTGATGCCATTACAGACGCAAATAAATTAAGATGATTTACTCCTTCTGAATTATGTTTATTGATGCTTGTATAATTTAATTTCACACAGATTCCATTAAAGATTATGCTCTCTGTCACGGAATGCTTCCAGTGGGAAAATATAATCATGTTATAATAGATTTCTCTGTTGCATTATTGTAGATATACAAGAGGGCTGTTGTTTCGTATTAATAAAACAGGACTACAACTAGGGAAACAAATCAATGTCACAAAGCTACCACTGCCTAACTGGTTAGGTGGCTGGAACCACTTATTATCACAAACTGAAGGCACTCTGCATGTTTCTGGAGTGCTTTCATATATGTTTAATTAGCAACTAGGTAAACACAATCTGCTTTCTCTATGCGGCCAACAGTTGAAGACAGATGGAGTTATTTAACAAATACATCATATTCTAGATACATATAAATGGTGTCATTAATACAGAACACATTTTATACAATAATTTTAACTGGAGAATTTAAATGAAACTTTTTCCAAGGAAACGTGTCCACTGCCATTGCTGGTATCTACTTTAGAATAAAAACTGCCTGGTTTCAGTGCTAATCAAGCCAGGTAATATTCTCTGAAAGCCGTTTGCAATAGAAGCTTTTCGTTCTCTCAGTAGAGGTATACTTTAATGGCACTCTCTACACACATTTTTTTTTAACACCTTCCTGCTCAGCCTATAGCAGATTGATCGGCCGGACAAGGACGCTGCTCCTTCTGACTGGACGTCATACAACGTCTTGTCAGAAGGTGCAGCTCACGCAGCTGAGCGATCTGTCACCATCTGTGTCCCGTGTCATGTGACCACTGTGACCAATCACAGCAGATCACATGACAGTTGTATACAATGGATGGCTTCCTTTCATGCCATCCATTGTATACAATTGTATTGTTAGCTGTGATTTGAGCACAGGTACAGTTGTGTTCAAAATAATAGCAGTGTGTTGAAAAAAGTGAATAAAGCTCAAAATCCTTCTAATAGCTTTTATTTCCATACACACAAATGCATTGGGAACACTACACATTCTATTCCAAATCAAAACATGAAGAAAAATATATCAAATTTGTGTTGTTCCTCTAAAAAAATTAAAGAAAAGTGAATATTAGACTGTTCAAAAAAAATAGCAGTGTTTGTATTCTTCTTTACAAACTCAAACATTCACTATATAAACTGAAAAATGTTTGAAGATTTTGCTTTCCTTTGAATCACTTAATGAATATTTAGTTGTATAAGCACTGTTTCTGAGAACTGCTGTACATCTGTGTTGCATGGAGTCAACCAACTTCTGGCACCTGTGAACAGGTATTCCAGCCCAGGATGATTGGACTTCATTCCACAGTTCTTCTCTATTTCTTGGTTTTGCCTCAGAAACTGCATTTTTGATGTCACCCCACATGTTTTCTATTGGATTAAGATCCGGGGACTGGGCTGGCCACTCCATAACGTCAATCTTGTTGGTCTGGAACCAAGATATTGCAAGTTTACTGGTGTGTTTGGGGTCGTTGTCTTGTTGGAACACCCATTTCAAGGGCATTTCCTCTTCAGCATAAGGCAGCATGACCTCTTCAAGTATTCTGATGTATTCAAACTGATCCATGATCCCTGGTATGCGATAAATAGGCCCAACACTGTAGTATGAGAAACATCCCCATATCATGATGCTTGCGCAACCATGCTTCACTGTCTTCACAGTGTACTGTGGCTT